CCCAAATCCAGGGAATGAGCCCCCAAAATCCAGGGAATGATCCCCAAAATCCAGGGAATGATCCACCAAAATCCAGGGAATGATCCCCAAAATCCAGGGAAGGAGCCACCAAATCCAGGGAAGGAGCCCCCAAATCCAGGGAATAAATCAAGGGAATGATCCCTAAAATCCAGGGAATGACCCCCAAAATCCAGGGAATGAGCCCCCAAAATCCAGGGAATGAACCCCCAAATCCAGGGAATGAGCCCCCAAATCCAGGGAATGAACCCCAAAATCCAGGGAATGAGCCCCCAAAATCCAGGGAATGAGCCCCCAAAATCCAGGGAATGAGCCCCAAAAATCCAGGGAAGGAGCCCCCAAATCCAGGGAAGGAGCCACCAAATCCAGGGAATGAGCCCCCAAATCCAGGGAATGAGCCCAAAATAAATAAAGGCAATGATCCCCAAAATCCAGGGAATGATCCCCAAAATCCAGGGAATAAGCCCCCAAATCCAGGGAATGAGCCCCCAAAATCCAGGGAATGAGCCCCCAAATCCAGGGAATGAGCCACCAAAATCCAGGGAATAAATCAAGGGAATGATCCCCAAAATCCAGAGTACAAATCAAGGGAATGATCCCTGAAATCCAGGGAATGACCCCCCAAATAAATCAAGAGAATGATCCCCAAAATCAAGGGAATGATCCCCAAAATCCAGGGAATAAACCAAGGGAGTGACCCCCAAAATCCAGGGAATAAATCAAGGGAATGACCCCCAAAATCCAGGGAACAAATCAAGGGAATGACCCCCAAAATCCAGGGAATAAATCAAGGGAATGACCCCCAAAATCCAGGGAACAAATCAAGGGAATGATCCCCAAAATCAAGGGAATGAACCCCAAAATAAACCAAGGGAATGATCCCCAAAATCCAGGGAATAAATCAAGGGAATGACCCCCAAAATCCAGGGAATAAATCAAGGGAATGACCCCCAAAATCCAGGGAATGACCCCCAAAATCCAGGGAACAAATCAAGGGAGTGATCCCCAAAATCCAGGGAATGATCCCCAGAATTGAGGGAATGACCCCCAAATCCCGGGCAGGGGCGGGGGGTCACCTTGATGTCCCGGTAGACGACGTCCCGGGAGTGCAAATATTCCAGGGCCGACACGATCTCGGCGCCGTAGAAGCGGGCGCGGTCCTCGGAGAACACCCGCTCCCGGGACAGGTGGAAAAACAGCTGGAAAACAGGGAAAATCCGGGACAAATCGGGGAAAAGGGGGCTGGGAGGCGGTCCGCGGAGAACACCCGCTCCCGGGACAGGTGGAAAAACAGCTGGAAAACAGGGAAAAATCGGGAAAAAGGGTCGACTGGGAAGCGGTCCGCGGAGAACACCCGCTCCCGGGACAGGTGGAAAACAGCTGGAAAAGGGGGAAAACAGGGAAAATCTGGGAAAAGGGGGTTGGGAGTCGGTCCTCGGAGAACACCCGCTCCCGGGACAGGTGGAAAAACAGCTGGAAAACAGGGAAAATCCGGGAAAAATCTGGGAAAAGGGGGCTGGGAGTCGGTCCTCGGAGAACACCCGCTCCCGGGACAGGTGGAAAAACAGCTGGAAAAGGGGGAAAAATCTGGGAAAAGGGGGCTGGGAGTCCTGGGAAGGGGAGGGGACGGGGAATCCGGGGAAAATCCGGGGCTCTGGGGGAGGAAACGGCCCCGGATCCGGGGAAAACTCCGGGTTCAGGGGGGTGAAACTCCCCCAGATCCAGGGAAGCACAAGGGAAGTGGGATAAACCCTCCCAGATCCAGGGAAAACCCAATGTTTAGGGGGGTGGAACTCCCCCAAATCCAGGGATTGAGGCCTCCCAAATCCAGGGATTCTGACCCCCAAATCCAGGGATTGAGGCCTCCCAAATCCAGGGATTCTGACCCCCAAATCCAGGGATTGAGGCTCCCCCAAATCCAGGGATTCTGACCCCCAAATCCAGGGATTGGGGCCCCCAAATCCAGGGATTCTGACCCCCAAATCCAGGGATTTAAGACCCCCAAATCCAGGGATTGAAGCCCCCAAATCCAGGGATTCTGACCCCCAAATCCAGGGATTTAAGACCCCAAATCCAGGGATTCTGACCCCCAAATCCAGGGATTTAAGACCCCAAATCCAGGGATTCTGACCCCCAAATCCAGGGATTTGGGCCCTCCAAATCCAGGGATTCTGACCCCCAAATCCAGGGATTCTGACCCCCAAATCCAGGGATTGAGGCCTCCCAAATCCAGGGATTCTGACCCCCAAATCCAGGGATTTAAGACCCCAAATCCAGGGATTCAGGCTCCCCCAAATCCAGGGGTTCTGACCCCCAAATCCAGGGATTCTGACCCCCAAATCCAGGGATTTAAGACCCCAAATCCAGGGATTCTGACCCCCAAATCCAGGGATTGAGGCCCCCAAATCCAGGGATTCTGACCCCCAAATCCAGGGATTTAAGACCCCAAATCCAGGGATTCAGGCTCCCCCAAATCCAGGGGTTCTGACCCCCAAATCCAGGGATTCTGACCCCCAAATCCAGGGGTTCTGACCCCCAAATCCAGGGATTGAGGCCCCCAAATCCAGGGATTCTGACCCCCAAATCCAGGGGTTCTGACCCCCAAATCCAGGGGTTCTGCCCCCCAAATCCAGGGATTGAGGCCCCCCCAAATCCAGGGATTCTGACCCCCAAATCCAGGGATTCAGGCTCCCCCAAATCCAGGGATTCTGACCCCCAAATCCAGGGATTGGGGCCCCCAAATCCAGGGGTTCTGACCCCCAAATCCAGGGATTCAGGCTCCCCCAAATCCAGGGATTCTGACCCCCAAATCCAGGGATTTAAGACCCCAAATCCAGGGATTCAGGCTCCCCCAAATCCAGGGGTTCTGACCCCCAAATCCAGGGGTTCTGACCCCCAAATCCAGGGGTTCTGCCCCCCAAATCCAGGGATTGAGGCCCCCCCAAATCCAGGGATTCTGACCCCCAAATCCAGGGATTCAGGCTCCCCCAAATCCAGGGATTCTGACCCCCAAATCCAGGGATTGAGGCCCCCAAATCCAGGGGTTCTGACCCCCAAATCCAGGGGTTCTGACCCCCAAATCCAGGGATTGAGGCCCCCAAATCCAGGGATTGAGGCCCCCAAATCCAGGGACTCTGACCCCCAAATCCAGGGGTTCTGCCCCCCAAATCCAGGGATTGGGCCCCCCATCCCACCTCTCCTCCGTTGGCGTATTCCATGACGAAGCAGAGCCGGTCGTGGGTCTGGAAGGCGTATTTCAGGGCCTGTCGGGGGTGGGAAAAGGGGGAATTTCGGGATGGGAATTCCAGGGGAGGGACTCGGGGGGGCCCCCCCCAGGGCTGGGGATTCCCGGGGATTCCCGGGGATTCCCAGTTTCCCCCCCCATGGAACGCACGGTCAGGAAGGGGTGTCGCGAGTTCTGCAGGACCCGGCTCTCGGTCACCGTGTGGGCCACCTCGTCCTGGAAAAGGGGAGGGAGGGTGGGAAAAGGGGATTATCCCGGAATTCCGGGCTGGGAACGCCCCCCTTCTCCCCTCTTCCCAACCCCCAAATTCCCAAACCCGAGCCCCCCAAACCCCCCCAAATCCTGGCACCTTGGCGATGACGACGTCCTTGCGCAGGATCTTCATGGCGTAGTGGCGGCCCGAGGCCTTCTCCCGCACCAGGATCACCTTCCCAAAGGTGCCCTTGCCCAGCAGCTTCAGGTAATCGAAGTCATTCATGGTCTTTTTGGGGAGAAAAAAGCCCGTGTTGGGGCTGGGAACGGCCGGGAAAAGCTCTGGGAGGAAAGATTCCTGGGAGGACTCACGGCCTTGGGGCGGGGTTTGCCGGCGGGGTCATCGGATCCCGGGGATCCGCCCTGGAATTCCATGGGATCCTCTGGAGGTGGTGGCGGCTCCCGGGCCTTGAGGCTGTTGGCCACGGTCTGGATGGCCCGGATCCATTCCTCCCTGGAACGGGGGGGGAAGGACAGATCCCGAGGGATCGGGGCCGGGATGAGCCTGGGGGTCGGCGTCAGGGTTGGGAGGGATCAATGTTGGGATCAATACTGGGGTCAGTGTTGGGATTGATGTTGGGATCAATACTGGGGTCAGTGTTGGGATTGGTGTTGGGATCAATACTGGGATCAATACTGGGGTCAGTGTTGGGATTGATGTTGGGATCAATACTGGGGTCAGTGTTGGGATTGATGTTGGGATCAATGTTGGGATCAATACTGGGGTCAGTGTTGGGATTGATGTCGGAATTGAGACCGGGATTGACGCTGGGATTGATTTCGGGGTCCAGGTTGGGATCAATATCGGGATTGATACCGGGGTCAGTGTTGGGATCAATATCGGGATTGATACGGGGATGGACATTGGGATTGACTTTGGGGTCAACACTGGGATTGATGGTGGGATTGAGGCTGAGATCGACGATGGGATTGATTTTGGGATTGATATTGGAATTGATACCAGGATCAATGTTGGGATTGACGTTGGAATTGAGGCTGGGATTGATTTTGGGGTCAAGGTTGGGATCAATCTCGGAATTGATACCGGGATTGATTTTGGGGTCAAGGTTGGGATCGATGCTGGGATTGATTTGGGATCAATACTGGAATCGATCCTGGGGCCAACCTTGGGATCGACACTGGGATCGATGTCGGGGCTGATGTTGGAAGTGACATCGGGATCGATGCCGGGACCGGTTTTGGGACTGACGTTGGTGTTGGGGTCACCCTTGGGATCAACGTCAGGATTAACGTTGGGATCGATGCTGGAATTAACACCGGGATCACCCTCGGGATCGGCCCCGGCCCCACCCCCAGATCCCTCGGGAAGGGGCCGCCCCGAGCACCGGGGTCACCCTCGGGATTGACCCTGGAATTAACCCTGGGACCAACACCGGGATCACCCTCGGGATCGACCCCGACCCCAGCCCCAGATCCCTCAGGAAGGGGCCGCCCCGAGCACCGGGATCACCCTCGGGATTGACCCTGGAATTAACCCTGGGACCAACACCGGGATCACCCTTGGGATCGACCCCGGCCCCAGCCCCGGATCCCTCGGGAAGGGGCCGCCCCGAGCACCGGGATCACCCTCGGGATTGACCCCGGCCCCGGATCCCTCGGGAAGGGGCCGCCCCGAGCACCGGGATCACCCTCGGGATTGACCCCGGCCCCGGATCCCTCGGGAAGGGGCCGCCCCGAGCACCGGGATCACCCTCGGGATTGACCCCGGCCCCGGATCCCTCGGGAAGGGGCCGCTCTGAGCACCGGGATCACCCTCGGGATTGACCTGGAATTAACCCTGGGACCAACACCGGGATCACCCTTGGGATTGACCCCGGCCCCGGATCCCTCGGGAAGGGGCCACTCTGAGCACCGGGATCACCCTCGGGATTGACCCCGGCCCCGGATCCCTCGGGAAGGGGCCGCCCCGAGCACCGGGATCACCCTCGGGATCGACCCCGGCCCCGGATCCCTCGGGAAGGGGCCGCCCCGAGCACCCACCGCTCCTCGGGGGAGTCCACGTGGAAGGTCCTCTCGATGACCGTCGTCCACTGCAGGCACCGGATGACGAAGGTGTTGGGGCGCGGCCGCTCCGCCCGCATCAGCTGGCACTCTGGGGGTGGGAGCAGGGCTGGGGTTGGCATCGGGATCGATATTGGGATTGGCACTGGGATCAATACTGGGATTGGCACTGGGATCAATGTTGGGGTTGGCACTGGGATCGATACTGGGGTTGGTACTGGGATCAATGTTGGGATTGGCACCGGGATCGATACTGGGATTGGTACTGGGATCGATATTGGGATTGGCACTGGGATCAATGTTGGGATTGGTACTGGGATCAATGTTGGGGTTGGCACTGGGATCGATATTGGGATTGGTACTGGGATCAATACTGGGGTTGGCACTGGGATCAATGTTGGGATTGGCACCGGGATCGATACTGGGATTGGCACTGGGATCGATGTTGGGGTTGGCACTGGGATCAATGTTGGGGTTGGCACTGGGATCAATGTTGGGATTGGCACTGGGATCAATGTTGGGATTGGTACTGGGATCAATGTTGGGATTGGTACTGGGATCAATGTTGGGATTGGTACTGGGATCAATGTTGGGATTGGCACTGGGATCAATGTTGGGATTGGTACTGGGATCAATGTTGGGATTGGTACTGGGATCAATGTTGGGGTTGGCACTGGGATCGATATTGGGATTGGCACTGGGATCGATACTGGGATTGGTACTGGGATCAATGTTGGGGTTGGCACTGGGATCGATACTGGGATTGGTACTGGGATCAATGTTGGGGTTGGCACTGGGATCGATACTGGGATTGGTACTGGGATCAATGTTGGGGTTGGCACTGGGATCAATGTTGGGATTGGCACCAGGACTGGGGTTGGGCTGGGATAGAGTTAGGATTGATACCAGGACTGATGTTGGGGTCAACGTTGGGGCTGATGTTGGGATCAACGTTGGGATTGGCACTGGGGTCAACATTGGGATCAACGTTGGGATTGGAATTGGGATCACTGTTGGGATCCATGTTGGGATTGGCACTGGGGTCAACATTGGGATCAACGTTGGGATTGGAATTGGGATCACTGTTGGGATCCATGTTGGGATTGGCACCGGGATCAACGTTGGGATCAACGTTGGGATTGGAATTGGGATCACTGTTGGGATCAACGTGGGGATTGGCACCGGGATCAACGTTGGGATCAACGTTGGGATTGGAATTGGGATCAACGTTGGGATCAACGTTGGGATTGGCACCGGGGTCAATGTTGGGGTCAACGTTGGGATTGGCACTGGGGTCAACGTTGGGATTGGCACTGGGGTCAACACTGGGGTCAACACTGGGGTCAACGCTGGGATCAACACTGGCACCAACGCTGCCCGGCCTCGGGGTCAGTGCCGGGCCGGACGTCGGGACCCCCCCCAACCCAGCAGGAAAAGGGGCCCCTCCCCCCGCGCCACGGACCGGCCACGGAGAAGTTGTTGAGGGGGGTCAGGGCCGGGTCCGGCGGCTCCGGCCGCTCCTTGAAGCCCAGGAAGGAGCCGTCGCTCTTGAGCAGGAAGTACCGCGGGCGCCACGTCTTGATGAACTCCCCTGGGAAACGGGGAATCGCGGTGGGACCCGGATCCGGGGGGATGGGAGGGGGGGACAGCGGGGGAGACGGGGGTGGGGGTGGGTTTAGGGTTGGGGTTGGGTTGAGGTTGGGGTTGGGTTTAGGGTTGGGGTTGGGGTTGGGGTTGAGGTTGGGTTGAGGTTGGGGTTGGGTTTAGGGTTGGGGTTGGGGTTGGGGTTGAGGTTGGGTTTAGGGTTGGGGTTGGAGTTGGGTTGAGGTTGGGTTGAGGTTGGGGTTGGGTTTAGGGTTGGGGTTGGGGTTGGGGTTGAGGTTGGGTTGAGGTTGGGGTTGGGTTTAGGGTTGGGGTTGGGGTTGGGGTTGGGGTTGGAGTTGGGGTTGGGTTTAGGGTTGGGGTTGGGTTGAGGTTGGGTTGAGGTTGGGGTTTAGGGTTGGGGTTGGGGTTTAGGGTTGGGGTTGGGTTTAGGGTTGGGGTTGGAGTTGGGGTTGGGGTTGGGT